AGAATTTTTTAGAAGAAATTGGCCACTTTTTTGTATTTGACGACAGACCTGATTGTATCCATACTTTTGATCAGACAAAGATCGGTGCTAATGTCTTCACTCTGTGGTTGCCTACGTGTATTACAATAAGAGTAACTCAGAATCAGAGGGAGAATGGATTGTACAATGCTTGGATTGTGCTTCTAAAATGTACATTTTATCCATTATTTTTGTCATCTGTAATTCCTTATTTATATTTAATGTTAATCTTGGTATGTTTCTCGTTTTGTAATCAGTAATGTTGTATTACTGAGGAACATTGTGAATGTTAAGTCCTCTGTTATTCCCAAATGAATAAAAACATAGTGTTGCTTATGTTAGATCACTGAAAGGGAGTTAAAGTTTACTCCACCTTTTGTATGTCCTACAACATTACAACTACTAACTAAATATTTGCTTTGAACAAATAGCAACTATATACATCATATTACCTTCATATATGCAATAAAATGTCATTTAAACTGTACATTTACCATGTAAATTACTGGAAATGCCCAATACTAATACAGTTAGTAGTAGAAATGAATGATATTATTTCCAGTTGTAGAAAGGCATCAATATTCTAATGGGAAACCCCCGAGATACCTTACAAATGTGATATTTTTCTGCTGCACAAGTTAAGGCATTAAATACCAATATATTAAAAGCCAGACGAAGGCAGGAACTGGGGCAACCGATCAAAGACAGCCATAACATTAACGCGGCACGCACGTACAACAGAGTGAATCACACATCATTTAATCAGATCCGACAAACAGTAATCACTTTATTCGGTTTAAGAAAGCTGGTCAAAATCTAGTTATGTCACTCACATAACACTCAACAAACAACACTTTCTTTGGGACTCAAGAAAAATCTGGATGACGGATTCAGAAAGGTTTCCAAAAACACTGGATCCCTGGTTTGCACTCATATAGTTTGATCCTCCAGTGGCATGCAATTTGATGGACAATTTACACAAGTATGTAACTACATCTTGACCAGACATTTCCACATAGATTTTTTTTTTAAATCTATCATAAATATCCATTTTCTACAGCCCCATAGGGGTAAAATTGCCCTCTCAACTTGTAAAAATCAATTGAAGTGTTCCCAGTTAGTGTTTTTCTTTTCCACAGAAGCCCTTTTTTTGTGGAAGAGGACACGAGAGGTTTTCATCCCCACTTCAACATGGGGTTTGTTCTTCTGAGCCCTCCTAGGCCAAGACGGCCTCCTTCCATAAGTCACTAAAGTAGGAGTCTCTCTTCTGCTTCAGTGCTTCTAGGAAATCCTGGATTCGTTCTTCCCGACAGGCGGTGTAGTGCAGCAGTGCCTCTTGTCTTCTCTGGGCGTCGGCAGGCTTTCCATTCCCATGATGCTGCAGGTGCTCTGCTACACAGGCCCGATCCGCCTCTAGCTGCTGTAAGGCCTGATGCTCTCGATGGAAGTCTCTGGCTTTCTAAAATATAAACCCACATTCAAATTCCAATTAGTCACGTAAAGTAGGAATTACTTTAAACATTTTAAATATTTCTTATTTGTTTTGGTGACAATAATGTAGATGCATATTGAAATCACAGTGCTCATTACATGCAGACAGTGCACATTAAATGACAGATGGTACAACACAATGATGATGAAGTGACATGTAGTGGTTGCACAAAATAATATTAATATCTTACAAATACAGAAACCCAACTGTAAATATACTTTTGATAAAGCTGGCAATGTTGATGATTGTTGATCCTGTTAATCATCTTTCAATAATATCGATGAATATACCTGTGATCATTTGCTCCTGTCCTCATTTGCCAAAACAGTATTCCTGCATTTGAATAGGTTTTAATGATTTTTTTTTTATGCTTCTCTCCTTTCCACATTACATCATTTTGTGACTTTTTTCAAGTGATGAACCAACAGGTCACACACACACATACTTGCATAGTCATTACTACAATGGTAGCTACACAATTGAGTCCTAATAGGTGGAATACCAATCAGAAGTATGGTTCTGCTTTAATAGAGATCTCACAGTGCCCATTTTATTTGAGTTTTCAAATCGACATATGGCAACTACCTGAATTTTAGGGAGAACAGATAGACGATGTGACTGTATGCTTTAGTATTGAATGCCTACATTTTTGGGGCACCACTGGCAAACAATGCAATTAAAAGGACCAGTGTGTAAGATATAGTGGCATCTAGAGGTTTAGGTACACCCTTGTTTCACCCTCCCTTTCCATATGCGAAGGAGAAAGGTGTGTGTC